GCTTTGAGGGCTTGCCCAGGCTGCAAGCGGGGTTACGTGATTTAAAAAAAAAAAAAAAAAAAAAAAAGCTTGTCGCTTTAGGAAAGATCGCAGATGGGTGGTAGATATATGACCGTGTTGTTGTTATTCAAGCTTTGGAGCTTCGGTCATCCAATGTAGTCTAGTAAATCCGACGGAGAAACAAGCGTTTGTGTTGTAGTTTGACGTAGAGTCCATAAAATATGCTCCAGAAGTACGCCGGACCCTGTCAACCACCTCTGGAAATGAATTTGGTAGTCACCTGCAACGAGGCTGCTGAACGGTAAATGCCGTGACTGGATGGTTTATCCAAAGGCGCATATTTTGACAGTTCCGTCCACAAGTTGCCTTCTGCCGCACAAAGAAGCCCTCAGCCGTCAAGCAGTGTGAGCCTTCGCATCAATCTAGGTATTGGTAAATTCTGAACGCAAACTGGAGAAATAACGTTACACAATAAGCACGAATCCAGTCGCAAATGTTATCAGCTGCGACAACGTTAACGTCATAACGTTATGGGTTGCAAAGTGCGGCTGTGGTATTGACCCCTCACTTCCAGACGAATACCAAAACCCTGCAGGACTTGGCATGTCTGTCGAATCGTCAGCTATTTATATACTATCCCATATGTGGGTGAAACCTCGCCTAAGTTAAGGATGGAACACAACGAATCTTGCGCTGCCATTGGCCGGAGCCCTCCAGATATCCATGCACTCGATCAATCGTTGTCCATGAAATTCTGGGTAGAGTGATTACAGAATCAATTAGTATGGAAGTAGGCTAGGTTTCATCCATCCATAGGATATGCATATTTAATCTATGCTGCCCGGCAATGCTGAACTATATATATAATTAATACCCTCAATCATGATTAATATCTGTCACAGCCCCGACAACCCCTGCAAACTATATGCAATACGCCAGTTATAGTTGAATACTTGACGTGAGGATGTACTAGTAGTATAGACCCAGCGCCTTCATAGGTCTTGACATCTCTCCATATACATTCCAAATGAAACCACAACTACTTAGACTACAAAGCAACCTCCAGCTGAGCTGATCCACTGATAATTCGCGATCTGGAGCCCAATCTGAGTGGAGAAAAATTTTACTCGGCCTTTTCCTTCGCCGCTGTGCACTACCCACACCCATTCCTCCCCCCTTTGCAAAGCCTCTTGATCATATTCTAAGTTCCAGTTCATTTCACGCTCTTTGCGGAGGCTGTGCAAATTCCAAGGGAGCTTATCATGCTCCATGCCCCTGAGAAACGATACTATTTTAGAACACTACTATAGCAGAATATGTAGGGCGTAAATATTGAGTACTTGTACAAGGTTTACCTCACGATATGTTGGTAACATCCATGGGAAACCAGCCATTGATCACAAAATTCGTCTGCTTGCGTATTCCCATCCCCGAGAGCGTCTATTGACTTCCAGTAAAAAAGGCAATATATTCCTGTGCAGTCAGATACCATAGGAGGATTCCATCGAATAGGGTAAGATAGATTAGAATTCCCACTTTCTTCACATAGAGCCCACTCTAGCATTGCTTGGTTGGACTGGGCCGGGTCGCTGCGGAGCTCATGATGCATACCATGGGCAACCGTCATCTGATCACCTTGTCAATAAAAGCCCTAGTGGCCGGATCTTGAATACAATCCCTCCCGCTCTGTTCTCCACTGGAATTCTAGCTGTATCCCCAACCATAGTGCACCCGTTACACCGCTCGCCTCCAGCAATGAGTCATGACTGATGGGCGCCTGTGCCCTATTGCAACGGCCAGTAATCATACTCAAAAGGATAAACGGAACGCGTCGTGCTGTGTCACTGAAAGCTCGGCCAACATTCAGGAGTGCTATGACACTACTACTTAGAGGTAACACCAATGCATCGTCACTAGGTCGTAGGCGGTACAGCTGCAGCTGGTGGCCGCGAACAAGCTTGAAGCGGGATCTCTCCAGACAGACGTTCGCGCAGACTGCCAAAAACTGGAGAAACTGGCGCTAAAGGGCGCTAACCTGCTGCTAATAGACCACTAATAAACTTGACTATCAGTAATACAAGGCTTCAACTACTCGTCATAGCCCTCAGGGCGACAAACGAGTAATGATATTCAAGAGGCTTCAACTAATAGACTATCCCAACTGTACATGTACGAATGAAGAATGTTTTACTGTGTCCTCAAGGTCGCTACGGACGTCACGCACTCACAGTGGCATATTCTACCAAATTACTCATTGCCTCTCATGCACCGAGCTATACTCACGAAACATGCTTTTCTGTACCCTGCAGGACCTGAAGATCATGCATTTGAGATATATTTTTACTAAACGAGTTCAGGATTTTATCAATATCCTAAGTGACCCATTAGTCTAGACTCTAGTCTCTAGATCTATAGTCCCGCGTCAATTTGCCCTTGCAGGATGACCCAGCACACTATTTCAGCGTAGGCTCAAAGGAAAAGCTGTTACTCGTATTTTGGCGTTTGGTGGGAGCTGAAATGGCAAAGCGAACTACATGAAAGCTAGGGTCGAAATAGGGAGCTGGCCAATGAAACTCAAGACTGCATCATAATATCCTCTAAGGCAACAGCATAAAGAGTTCCTGTATCACAATCCTGTCAATCCTGGCATGTACTTATACGTAGATACGATTCCATACAATTACGTCCATCGAACTCCATTAGCGGTTGCATACCCTGTAATGTCCTTTCGCGGTTCATTAGTGGCAATTAGCGCCAGTTACTGCAGTTCCGGACTTGTGAAAGATCGCGAGCTTCGTGGCTAGGAGTTTCGAACAGGTCAGAGACGAGACTCATGCAAAGTTAGTGGTTTTGAGACATTGGTCAGGATGAATGTGGAGAAGGAAGGATTGAGAAATTGTTCCGACTAATGGGGCAATGAGCTTTCCACTAGATCAAACTTCAAACTATTGCCCCTTGTCCTTCTCATCATCGACATTTCTAGCCTTTCTCTGACTGTGGCCTACCAGTAATTCCCTAACCTGGTCGTCAACCTCTCGACAACCCTCTCACATGCCCACTTAACCATCCCCTCCATCGTCTCCCCCAAATTTGCCGGTTGCAGGACCATACCCTTCCCATTCCCTCTCTCACCCCACTCGTCTACCAACCCTTCAGCAGACTCCACATCTCCATCTACAAAAAGGTGTTGATAATATTTGACATAGCTCGGCCAGACAATTGCGTCAAAGTAGCCCTTGGGGTCCTCCCAAAACCCGTCCGCAGTGAAGTATCCCTTGCGAGATTCTCGGCGGTGTTTTGCGACTGCGTAAGTTGTGCGAAGAAGGATAGGAAGATCCAGGAGGGAGATTAGGGAGGGCTGAGTTTGGATAGAACCTTCACTGTTGATATCTCCTGTGAGCTCAGGTTCCTCTGGGTGATATAGCATGAACCCGTCAACGATGATGATATTCACGACGTGCTGGGGCTCAACTCCAGAAGCCAAGTCCAAGCTTGAAAGTTGCACATGGCCTTTGTTGTTATCATTTTCGCCGACACTTGTCCCGATGCCACCTGCGATCATTAGACGCGCAACCACTTCGTTTCGCATCCTCTTCAACGCATCCTCCGACACCGCCCTCCGATTGCCCTTCGCGCCCCCCTCCTGAATACCTTCTTCATTCTCGTCCAATTGCAGCAAGAGGTGCAAATCCTCCGTTTCCTGGATTCCCAATTTTCCGATCACCTCGCCATACGGGATTCCGTCCCTCAACATCTGCAGCGCTTTCTTGAACTTGACGAAATCGACCGCGCCGGGAAAGTCCCAGTCCACGACCTTCATCTTCTCCTCTGTTTCGAGACCTGTGGTTTGGTCTTTGAATCGCACTACTACGGACCGAACCGGGAGTGCCGACTCTGGGAGAAAGAAATCATCTTGGTGAAGGAGGGTGACGGTGAAAGCGATGTACGTCGCCGGCCCTGCGGCGGTGGGCGATTCCGAGCCCACAAGTGACGTGGGCACCGTCAGGCCAGAGAAAATCTGACGAAGGAACCGCGCAAGCGTGGTCTTTCCGGAGGAGGAACATCCAGATATGCCGATCACGAACGGCGTAGAAATTTGAGATTTGCTGTTACCAGCTCGGAGGCTGTCGCCCTCGACTGCACTAGACATTATTCCGTGCAATGGAAGTTATGGAACGCAGATGTTACCAGAGTGGAATGTACTGCGGCGGGGTGCTCTTGCAGTTCCGGCGTTCTAAGTCGTGTGCGCGGGGCGACTTAAGGCTCGTAGTCTCTATGTATCTACTAGTACGCTCTTGGCTTGCAGCAACCTATGATAGCTGCCATGACCGAACCGCCAGTGATTCATTGTTGGTTGTATTTTGACGACGACAAGACGAAGGCCAATGCCAGATTGGCAGATCAAGACCCTAGAGCCCACACTTTAGGGGTACCTATCATATCCTTTGGTAGTACTGTATAGTCACACTCACACAAAAGTGACGTGAATAAAATTTAAGAAGTTTGCGAATGGTGGAGTGCGGATGCAGCTTTACTGCTCCTGCGAAAATTGCTTTGCCAAGGAAAAACTATGTGTTCTAGTTATGTTTATGCCATACCTCTTTTCATTTTCTTGATCAATATTGATTCGCAACGAGACTACCCATGCATTGATGCCTACTGTGAGAACAGGAGTAATACTGAGCAGTGCTCCCAACTACAACACTTCTTGCTTCAACAGAGCGTCTCCTTACCATGAGCCTCTCGCTGCACTAATTCACGGAGGTGCGAGCTCATTGCCACCCAGCCGCTGTTGCCATAGAAAACAGTAAGTTTGAGCTTCAATTCGAGGGTGACTTGAGCAATGGTAGCTCGAAATCTTGGCATCTTATTACTAAGCGCACGAGTTCATTTTTAGAAAAGCGTCATTACCAGTACTTGTTAGGCGATGGTAATAGGGTAACCACCAAGTGAGACAAATAACTTAATAGAAGAAGATATATCACAATTTGTATTAAGTGGTCTCTATAGCTCAGTGGTAGAGCGAAAGATTGCAGATCTTTAGGTCACTCGTTCGATCCGGGTTAGGGACTCTTTTTTTCGCTCCTTCCTGTTCTGTCGAGTCTGGAAATCAAATACCTCAGAATTCCCACCTAATGCTAGCCTTCTTGATGTGAGATTTGTAGCAGGAAAACCGCGTATCAGGGGCTCAGGGGTGCCTGCTGCCTGCGTACTACTGGAGATTGAGAAGTCCGTGGAGGGTGCCCACAACGTCGTACAGGGATCGATTTTCTTGAGTAGATAGAGGAGTGCTTTGGCTCATTTTTCGTGTTTATTGATTGGATGTAAATGCTCCCTCCCTTCAGTAGTAGTTAGGTAGACTAAGTGGCAGCAGACTATAGCAGTGGTTAGTCTGAAATATAGTTACTGCAACTATGTAGAAATAAACACGTCAACTCTAGATAAAAATACATAATGAAGCAGAGCGGTATCTCCTTTTTTGACCTCTGAAGGCTTGCTAGTTGCAAGCTCTTCTTTAGACTCTAATATGATATTAAAGTTGATTTCATTACCGGGACCTGGCCTGCCCGGATGCAGGGGTATGGACAGGGGACTGTAGACTAGCCTGCCCGGTTGTAGAGGTATCTACTAGCCGAAAAGATAACTATCCTAAATGCATATTATGCGCTATGCAGTAGTTGGCATAAACTAGCATATTTTTGTATGCTTGGCTGTGGATGTTTATGAGACCAGTTCAAATTTCGTGGATAGTGTCCAATTTTATTATGTCAGAAGTATCCGGACAGCTGACATAATGAATTTGGGAGTTGCAACACTAACAGTCTATACCTACGTATTAGGACAAGGAACATAGATATAAGTCCTCTACTAGGAATATAAAAATGGCACTACAGGCAACTATGATAAGCACAGGTTCAGGCATTATAATGATTAAAACTTACTGTTCTGATAGGTCCTAAGATTTCAAGACTGCTCTTCAGGGCTTTTCTAGAAGCTTTTCTAAGGCTATTCCAAGAGCTGTTCCAGAGGCTGTTTCAGAAGCTGTTCCAGAGGCTATTGAAATACTGTTCGAGAGGCTGTTCGAGCTCAAACGGCCTCCGAAATGGCCTCCGAAGTAGCCTCCGGAACAGCCTCAGAACAGCCTCAGAACAGCTCCGGGACACCCTCTTAAACAGCTGCTCGAACAGCTGCTCGTAGCATGTCAACAGCTACTCTGGGATGACTTGGGACAGGTACTTTTTGACCAACTTCGCAGGTAGTGGCAGTTGACTTTGTTGAAAGACCATGCGCCCTGGCTATTAAGTAGTAACTAGTAAATGATTTCATGACAGCAGAGGCAAAAGAGAAAAGCTATGAGTGGATAGCAACCATATCTTCGATATACATGAAGTTGCACTCGAGTACATGCGAGCTCACCACCCTGTCGATACCCATGCATGAGGCAGGCCAGACTGGCCTGCCCGGAGAGGTCCCGTTTCATTACTATAGTACAATTGGCTAGAAACAAATTAAGGAGTAGATAGGTAGTCTGGTTGCGTTACCCCCTATAGGGTTAGTCGAGTACAGATGAGTGGATTTAGAGCACTCAATTGGGTTTGGCGGCATTGAGTTTGGAGAGACATAAATACAGTTGTGGATGTCGTAACAAGCGGAATGACCAAGCCGATGACCAATACACCAGTAAAAATTGGTGCTAGCAGCTTCGGCAGCTAATCAACCAGACGATTACGAGACTATTGTAAGTCATCGTCCATCCAGGGAGTTCTTGTGACGAATGAACAGGCGATTTTGGTCTCTCTCTTGGGTCATACGGTCACGGCGAGCCTCTCCTGTGCCCCCAAAGGAGGTCCTTGATAGGAAGCCTGATGAAAGGAAGATAGAGGAAACACCATATCTCCCTCCTCTAATACTCTCTGTTTTCGACTCCTCCACACTCTCATCTTGTGGAAAGTTATTTTATTTAGTACATCAACCTCTTTCCAATCTTCTCTATGTTCTCGTGCCCTAGTCTGCTTGCTGGTACCCAGGTTCTGCTCCCTACCCAACCTCTTTTTCACCCAGTCTCATTTAATATTTCCCGCCGCTCTTGCATCCTCCATCTACTTCTGCACACTACAGCGATTCAAATCAGTGATCTGTACGATTACATACTTTGGTGATGTGAGCTGATCACTTGCATTTGTACTGCAAGGAGCAAGTCCCTTCTACTGAAAATCCAGAAGTACGACCTTTTAGTTCAGTAATAGTAGTCCACAATGAATCCAACAGGCCAGGCCAGGCTTGCAGCTGCCATACTCTTGGGAAGATCCTTCTATTGAGCAGGTTAGTATCATGTGAAGCAGAATATAAGGGGCGAATAACTTACATCAGACATTCCTGGGGCTTGGGAACAAACAGCATTTGAACTTCAAGCTTGCCGATCTTGTATGGAGGTCGCCTAGCAGGATTACCACCTCGCTTGCTCTTCAGGCTGTTTAAGTCGATCACCCATTCGTTAAAGCAGTTAATTTCGGTCACGAAAGGTCTTCCATATACCTTGTACTCAAAATCTTTCAAGCAAACATAGGACCTAGCGAAACTTCCATCCCTTGCAACGACATCGCCATAGCCCATAGGGCGGCATGCGATTAATGAAATAAAAAAAAAAAAAAAAAAATCCCTTGCAACGAGCCCATTAAGCAGCTCCCATGCACTTAGTGGTTCTTCGGATTGTTGCTTCTGAGCTTGTGCTTGAGCCTGTTGCTGTTGCAATAATTGTAGTTGCTGCTGTTCCCTTTGCTTCTCAAGTTCTTTGCGCTTTTTCGAAATGAACACACGACTAAATGTTGACTTCGTCTTACTTGTAGTGGTAGCTTTTGGAGCGGGAGGAGGCGGAGTTGGAGGTGCGGCAGGCCAGGCCAACCGGAGGCCTGGCCTGGACTGAACAATCAGGCCGGTCCAGACCATTCAGGCTGGCCCAGGCCATTCAGGCTGGCCCAGACCATTCAGGTTGGCTCAGACCATTCAGGCTGGCCCAGGCCTGTGAAATTCTGGGCCTGGCCTGGACTGAACAATCAGGCCGGTCCAGACCATTCAGGCTGGCCCAGGCCATTCAGGCTGGCCCAGACCATTCAGGTTGGCTCAGACCATTCAGGCTGGCCCAGGCCAACCAGGCCGGTCCAGGCCATTCAGGCCAGTCCAGGCCGACCAGGCCATTTACGTAAATTCAAGCGATTTTGGAATTTAACCCAGGTGAATTAGATTTTAATTGTCCTGGATATTTCCACTATCAGTGGATGACTTTCACTAGCCCAGATTCCCAGATTCTGGCAGACCACACCCCCCCTCTGCCAGACGGTTTTCGCAGATTCCCAGATTCTCAGACCTATCCACTAAACTCGATTCAGCAAAATGCAACCCATACTCCATAATGGTCATGATGATGATGAAGATATCTATATCGCAGTCGGCTTAATAATAGCGCTCTATGGCCTGCAATTACAGCGCGAACGGCGAAATCGCTTCTACCTGACACGCGTGTGTTTACCACTGCCAACATCCTCAGCTTAGAGTTCTCTATATTACAGTCGCAATGTTAAAGGGTTCATTGTACTATGGGAATAAGTCCAATTACATTTGATAAAATTTTATCAACTGGATCAGTAGGTAGATAGTGTTCAGCGGGTGGACGGTGTTCAGCGGGTGGACGGTGTTCAGCGGGTGGACGGTGTTCAGCGGGGTAGACAGCGAGCGCAGGTGTTGGGAGAGTAGAGGGTGTTCTGCAGCACTCGTTAGCTTTAGGAATCTGGGAATCTGGGAATTTGGGGGGTTCCTAGTGAAAACGGGGTTTTGCCCAGAATTATCCTAGACGTGCAAATGTGGCGAAAATCTGAGTCTGGGAATCTAGGAATCTGGGAATCTGGGCTAGTGAAAGTCATCCAGTAATTGACAGTTGCGCATCAGGTATCATTATCGAAGAATTGAGTCCAGTCTGGTGTATGATCTGGAAGGTCCATCATTTCTAAAATATTTCTTAGTATATATACTTGAATACAAAGTGTGATACATACTTGACAAAAGTCGTAGACCGCTGCTGTTTAAAATTCTAGACATATGGGAGATTCTACTCATTTAAATACTCAAACAATCTGGTAAATGCTGGCCTCAATTCACCTGGATAACTGTGGAGTGATTCGTTTGATTGGCCTGAACCGGCCTGAATGGCCTGAACCGGCCTGATTGGCCTGGACCGGCCTGGTTGGCCTGGACCGGCCTGATTGGCCTGATTGTTTCAGGCCGCCTGGACCGGTCCAGGCGGCCCTCACGGCCTGGCCTGATTGTTCAGGCCAGGCCAGGCCCAGGATTTCACGGTCCAGGCCAGTCCAGGCCTCCGGTTGGCCTGGCCTGGCCTGGCCTGTTGGATTCATTGAATTGAATATTATCATCATTACATATGGTATTATGCACTTTGCTATGCAATCTATAGACAAGTATTTTGGCTGCTAATAGCCAACAAATCCACTGTTGCCGGCTACCTATAGGCAGCTAACTAGTTGCCGGTTACAGCCCGCCTGGTTCGAGATCCTGAGTTGCTACAGTCTGTCACCACAGAACCACCTGCCCTCATATAAGGAATACAGCGATAACCCGAATTGTTCTTGGGTACGTAGGCACACAATGTGAAAAGAATGTAGAGAGAGTGGTTACTATTTAGTTAACCAGTGCAGAACTCGTTTTTTTTTTTATATATATCATTACTCGCTTGCCGCTCGTTTGGCTATGGCGAGGTTATAGCTCGTTCTGTAGAAGTTGTTGTCGATGTTGACCTGACTTCATTCATTTCAATAAAGCAGTCGTGTTGGCGCCTTATACAAATGTGACTCTGAACTGAAGCCAATTTGCTTCACTAATGATAATGATACTTCACTTCAAAACAACAATATGAAATGCCCCCCACAAACTCTTATGATCTTGTATGAAAACCCCCCCACCATCGTGTCCATTCAACCCGAGGAAATGCCTCTCAAAATTTACAGGCTTAATTCCTTGTTTTCCGTCACCAGACCACTGAATCCTAAACTTCTCCGCATTG